AGGCAGATTCTTTACCACTGGACCACGAGGGAAGTCACTGTTTTGTTTTTCAAGTATCCTTTTCTTTTCATATATATGCCTATATATTTACAGATGAAATTATATGATATTTGGGACGTGACTCAAGATAATCTGGAAATGGAGGGAAGTGTGTTGGAGCATAGACAAGATTGGTAATGAGTTGATAATTGTTGAAACTGACTTAGGGGTACATGAGGCTTCATTATGTTATGTTCTCTAGTTTTGTTTATTTTTGAAATTTCCCATAACAAACACTTTTTTAAAAGTTAAAAAAAAAGAAAAGTAATTGTATTTCTGGAGAAGTGCTTGGGGGATAAATTTCCAAAGCCCCTGCATGTCTAAGAATGTGTTTATTTTGCTCTCACACCTGATCAAAAATTTGGTTGAATACAGGACTCTACATTTAAAGTAAGTTTTTGTGAGAACGTTGAAGCATGACTTCATTATCTCCTAGCTGGAAGACAATCCAGTGTTGCTGGTGAGAACCCTGAGCCCCATTTGAGCCTCGGCATCTGTGGGCTTCCCACCCCCGGCTACAAGGCCTCAGAATCTTCTCATTATCTGTCTTCTCCTTTTCTCTCCTGAAATTTCATGAGAATGTATCTAGAGGCAGGTCTTTTTTTATTTATCACATTGCTTCTCACTGGCCCCTCTCACTGTGGAGAATCATGTCACTGCAGCTCTGGTAAATATTATTATCATTTCATGATTAACTCCTCCCTCTAGTTTCTCCTTTCCTGCCTGGAACGCTTTCTAAGTGGACAAGGAACTTTTCGTGTTGATGATTTATGTCTCAACTTTTCTCTCGCACTTTTCCCGTCTTGGTGGGTTTCATTTGTTTTGGCTTCCAGCCTAGGAGACACACTCGACAGACATCTTCTTCCAGCCCTTCTATTAAATTTTATTTATTTTTCCTATTTTTTTGGCAACTTTTTTTTTTTTTTTTTCCGCGGTACGCGCGCCTCTCACTGTTGTGGCCTCTCCCGTTGCGGAGCACAGGCTCTGGGCGCGCAGGCTCAGCGGCCATGGCTCACGGGCCCAGCCGCTCCGCGGCATGCGGGATCCTCCCGGACCGAGGCACGAACCTGTGTCCCCCGCATCGGCAGGCGGACTCTCAACCACTGCGCCACCGGGGAAGCCCCGGCAACTGTATTTTTAATTTCCGTGAACTGTCCTTTCTTCAAGCAGCCCATTTCATAGTAATCTGTTCCTATTTTATGGGTGTGATTTCTGCTTGCCTCTCTCCGAGGACACTCATTAGAGGGTGTTTTGGATCATTATACTCTGTTCCCTTCCCAGTGCTACCCATTTCCTCTCCACCCTTGGGAGACAGTTGTCCTATTTGTTCATCTAGATCCCTCACTTTCAAGCTGCTGGTTTCTGCCCGTCTCTGCGAAGGCCCAGGGTGACTGACGTTTCCCGACCTCCTCGTAGAGAGGCTGGCTGGGCTCTCAGGGCAGATGTGGTGCCCCAGCAGGCTGCCTTCCCTCCAGGGCCGCACCACGCAAAATCTGGCCCGTGGACCCGTGTCCTCCTGCGCGCTAGTCCTCGACGAGTGCGATGCGAACAGAAATCAAGACTGAGCACCCAGAAGCCTTTACAGCGTTTTGACGTTGCCACGATAACCAAGCGCGATCAGCGGGCCTGTACCTTGAGCATCTTATTTTTAAATCGATTTTCTAAATTCATTTTTATTATATTTTACAAAAGTATCAGTCTGTAACAGATCAGAATTTTTCTTAAGGCTGGGGGATGGAGGATGTCTTTCACTACAGACAGTTCAGAAAGCACTGCCCTAGGGGGCCCGGGCAGAGAGAGGTCTAGGCAGGCTGCCCTTCTGCTAAATGTCACATGGGAAGGGGTCTCCTTGGGCCGCTGCCCTAATTCCAAGAGCCCTTGACCCTCCCTCAGAGCAGGTTTCCTTAGAAATACTTCTCTGGCTTCGCCTAGGGGAGAAGCTTAAGGCGCACGGTGGAAGGTCAGAGGCGGGGAGTGCCCAGGGAACTCTACACTCAGCAATTCCATCCATCCATCATTCAGTGTCTGCCCCTCATGCCACCCTGCCCTACCCTCAAACCCAACAGATCTGTGGGGTTCCCAGTGAGAGAATCATTCCCATCTTTGCTGCTGCCTTTCCCCCTGCCCGTTCTGAGCTGTGGCCTCTGTTCATCTGCCTTCTATTCACCTGTCCACTCGCTTACTTTCCTAGCACCTGGATTAACTCATCGCCCACTGTTCTTTACTGTCATTCCAGCAGGTTTCCAAAAGAGGAGGTGAACGTTTGCATTTAGTTCGTAGTCTCGAACCATCGTCCTTCAAAGACATTCGAATCACCTTCGCCCTGGGGTCACAGAAGAATCAGGTTTTAGAAGGGCACGCCTGGGCAGGAGGGAACTTCCTGGGTGATGGTAGTGTTCTACATTATATCCATACTGTCCCATAAAAGTATAATGTAAAATATTCTAGTGGCAACATTAAAAAAGAAACATGAAGTTCATTTTAATAATATATTTTATTGAATCCAACATATCCGGAATATTATTATTTCAACATGCAATCAATATCAAAACTATGAGTGAGATGTCCTGCATTCCTTTTTACATACCATGTCTTCCAAGCCTGATGCAGTTTTTACACTTATAGCACCTCAATTTTCCTTGAAAATACTTCACCTGTATTTAGCTTTTATAAAATTTACAGTTGAAAAAGCAGACTAATATACTCAGGATGCTCCCAACATACTTAAAAGTTTTCCAATAACAGAATTGAGTAGCAGTTTTTAGATTTTAATTAAAATTAAATGGAATTTAAAATACGGTTCCTTATTCACACTGGCCGCATGTTCAACAGCCAAGTGTGGGTAGTGGCTGCCGTACTGGACCACACAGTTCTGTATCTTCACAGGGATTGGGGTTACACGGTGTGTACACTTGTCAAAACTCATTTTATGATATCATTAAAATCTGTAGGTAAATTTCACCTAAAAAATCTCTCTAGTTAATGATATGCATGATAAAGTATTTAAAGGTGAAGTATGTTGATGTCATCAACTTTGAAGTTCATCAAAAAAACAAAAAAGAAGGATCGATGGCTAGAGGGGACAGATGGGTATGTATGTGATAAAGCAAATATAGCAAAATGTTCATTGTAGAATTAGGTGGTGGGACATATGGGTATTCACCATACAATCCTTCTAATTCTTCCGAATGTTTAAAAAGTCTAATAAGGTGTTGGGGAGGAAAAGAGACAACATGTCTTCAAGAAACCATACCTGCATGTAATCCCATGGCTAAATCTGAAAAACATACTATTGAACGAAAGAAGCTAGACCCAGAAGGGCATCTATGGATGGCTCCATTTATATAAAGTTTCTGAACTTTAGAGACACGACATCTGGCAAAACTGACCTATGCTGCTGGAGGTCAGAAAGTGGTTTATCCTTGGTGGGGGGAGGGGCTGACAAGTAGGGGTGCGTAAGGGGGACTTCTGGGGTGCAAAATTCTCTGTCTTGGTAACTTGGGTGTGTTCGCTCCATGAAAACTCATCAAGCATTTTTGCAGAATTTCTGTCAGTTTTTGTTGTTGACTTAAGGCCTGCCTGCCCTTCGTACCCCGCATGAGGAAAACCAGAGTTCCCCTCCAAAACTACACGGGCTGATTTAAAGGTTCACCAAGTGCAAGAGAGATTCCACCCAGGTCCCCAGCGAGTCACTGGGGATGGAGGACCTGGATGCTGTGGGCCTTGGCATTTATTTTAGGAACTTTCTCTCTGTGGTTCCTGATTAAGTTTTTGAACATGCTGTGCAGAAAGCAAACTCATGTCTCCTTTAGTTCCTGGCCCATGTGCATCCGTCACCTGCACTCCTCAAAGCCGCCAAGATTTTAGTCTCCTGTGCTTGGACCACAGCACCATCATTTGTTGATCTTCGTGCTTAGCTGCTTAATTTATTGAACGCCTTTCCCTCCAGGAGCTCAAGGAACTTTTCTCAAAGAACTTACAACACGAAACAGGAGGGAATATTCTACAGCTGTAATGGGGGGAATCAAGAGGTGAGGGAGGGCCATAAGTCAAGGGTCACTGAGGCAGAGTAGAAGGAGAGGTGCAGGGGCTGGGGAAACCGGTACATGAGCAGAACCCAAAGTTCTCTGGATGTGCCTGGTTGGCCCAGATTTTTAAGTTCATAATTCAGAAAAACCCTTGGGACCTTCCCCCCCTTACAGCCCTGAGAGAGTAACACACCCAGGGGCCTGGGCCGCAGCTTTGGGGCCAAATTATTAAACCGATGACATCCAAAAGTCTCAATTTCCCCTACAGGTGCCGAGTCTGAGAGCATTGCGCGGGGGAGGGGGATGCGGAGGGCCAGAGGCAGTGGGGTGACAGACTCTGTCGCCATCACGGGTCCAGGAGGGGTGTGTGCGGCCCTCGGAGGTGTGCTGACCGCCAGGCAAGCCCCAGGAAGCTTCCAGAACAGAGGCTGAGGGAGAGAAGAGCCCTGGGGGTGCCCAAGGCTGCAGGATCCCTTGCTTCCCACTTCTCTGTGGGAAAAGCCTCCCCCGCAGATCGCAGTGACGCCTCTGGGAGTTCTTCAAAACGGGGCCAATTCCTCCGAGAGGGCAGCTGCTCCAACCTCCCTCCCACGCAGAGCCTGGAGAGCCTTCAAGGGGGTGTCCCTTCCCACGGCCGCGCCGGGCTCTGAGCCGGGCTCGCTGGCCTTGGTGTCGGAGCCGGCTGGGGACTGCTGCCCAGGCAGGGGTCCAGCCTCACGCGACCCGGGGCGGGGCCTCCCCGGGCCTGCCGGGGTCTCGCGGCCCCGGGCCCAGCCCTCCCGCCCCACCTCCTCGCCGCCCTCCCCGCGGCCGGGACCCAGGCTCCGCCCCTCCCCTCCCCCTCTTCCCTATCTCTTTTTCTAACCTTTTGCATTTTTTTTTTAGTCTCATTTCCTGTCGGGTTTTGCATTCCCCTCCCCCCTTCCAGCCTGTGACACACTTTCTCTCCTTTTTTCTCTCTTTTGCCTCCTTTGGCCTCCGGACTGCTGCCCGTGTGGCGCGCGGCCCCCTACCGGCCCTGCAGCCCCTGGGTCGGCTGCGCCCCTCGGACGGTCCGGGCGGTGGGGACCGAGGGCCGGGGCCCCGGGGGGAAGACGGCGGCCTGCGCGGAGCCTGAGCGGCCCAGGTAGGCGCGGCGGACGCGGGGGTGGGGACACGGGGGACGGCGGGGGGCGCGCTGGGGCGGCGCGGTCGTGCGGAGGGGGGACGCGGGGGGCCCGGGGTCCTCGGCGGGCGGCGCGGAGTCGCGGCGCTGTGCGGGGGTCAGGAGGGGCTCGCTTTTCTGGTCCAGCGCTACCGGACCGCCATCCCTCTCTCACCATCTCTTTCCCCCTTTCCCCTCTGGCTCCATCTCTATCTCCCTCTCCCCGCCTGCGTTTGGAAAACTTTATCTCCACTTTCCATCTCCCTGTATCCCGCCTCCGAGTTCCTCTCGGACCGTCTGTCTCTGGGTGGCCCCGCCTGGCAAAGTCCCCAGCCCCTCAGAGAAGAAAGGGATGAAAGGGGGGGCGGGCCCGGCAGGGCGCCCCTCGGTGCCCCTGCCCCAGAAGGAGGAAAATAACTTTTCTAAGACCTGAAAGGACAGGAAGTTCCCAGACCACAGCCGGGCCTGACTCGGAGGCTCCCGAGAAGGTGGAGCCCCTGGGAGGGGAGGGGAGGGGAGGGCAGGGGGAAGGACAGCCCCTCCCATGGGGAGAGTGTGGAACCAGGAGGGGCCCAGGTTCCCCGCAAAGCCAGGATGAGGTCCTAGTGGCCTCGTGCCTGAAGTCCCCACCCCCGTGACACTGACCCGCCCCCCCAGGACACTGCTCAGGCTGGAAGGGCCCCCCGTGGTCTCCTGAATTCTCGGCACAGGGAAGGGAGAGGGCTTCTCTGTCCCTTCAGAGTTCAGAGCACAGTTGGAGGGGCCCCAGGGAGACAGTTATGGTGCAGGGAGCAGGGCCTGCTTCTGGAGAGTGTCTGCAGAGGACCATCCTCACAAACCTGGTCCTGTGGACCAAACCCATCTGTGCCCAGCCTGCCCCCAAACCTTTGATTTGTGGTAGGAAAGAATTTCTCCTGACAAAGTGTCAAAGGCTACCAGCCTCCCAAGGAAGGAAAGAAACGTTGGTCCATCACTGGATGATTATTGGGTGCCTCCTCTGTGGTTATTGGGTGCCGGAAGTCCCGAGCCGTAGGTTAATGCGAGGACAGGAATTTAGCTACAGTGTTCCACTTCTGTCCTTGCCCTGAGTCTCCACTTCTCTCTAACCCCCAGGCAGCTGTAAAGAAATGATGGTCCCCGCTGTGGGCCGGGGCTGATCAGAGGGCAAAGGGAGCCTGGGACTGACTCAGCCTCATCACATCCCAGCAAAATGGTTTGGATGGCTGTGCATTTTAGTAGCACCCATATCAAAAAGGAAGTCTGTTAGTCCCACCAGCCCGTACAGTCCTGACTCTGTGTACAAATGTTCCTTTGTGTGCTTTTTTTTTTAAATTGTGGTAAAACACACATGACATAAAATTTACCATCTTAACCACTTTTAAGTGTATAGTTCAGGGGTATTAAGTACATTCACATTGTTGTACAACCATCACCACCATCCATCTCCAGAACTTTCCATCCTCCCAAACTGAAACTCTGTCATCATTAAACAACTCCCCATCCCCTTCTCCAGCCCCTAGAAACCACCCTTCTACTTTCTGTCTCTATGAATTTGACTCCTCTAGGACCCCATGTAAGTGGCATCCTGCAGTATTTGTTCTTCTGTGTCTGGCTTATTTCACTGAGCATAATCTCCTCAAGGTTCACCCATGTTGTAGCAGGCGTCAGAATTTCCTTCCTTTTTAAGGCTGAATAATATTCCATTGTGTGGATGGACCAGTTTGTTTATCCATTAATCCTTTATGTGATCTTTTATTTTTCATTTTTTTAAAGATTTAATTTTATTTATTTTTGGCTGTGTTGGGTTTTCGTTGCAGTGCGCAGGCTTCTCCTTGCGGTGGCTTCTCTTGTTGCGGAGCCTGGACTCTAAGCGCGCTGGCTTCAGTAGTTGTGGCTCACGGGCTCTAGAGCGCAGGCTCAGTAGTTGTGGCTCGCAGTTCTAGAGTGCAGGCTCAGTAGTTGTGGCGCGCGGGCTTAGTTGCTCCACGACATGTGGGATCCTCCCGGACCAGGGCTCGAACCTGTGTCCCCTGCATTGGCAGGCGGAGTCTTATCCACTGCGCCACCAGGGAAGTCCCTATGTGATCTTTCAAAATGACTTGTAAACCTAACTCTTCTTCTAAAGGTGGTGGCCCTTGTTTGAATCACTCAGTGGGCACTGTCTGGGTGACACTGTACCAGGTACCGTCGGGGACACACAGAAGGAACGAGAGACCCAGGCATCCTCCCCTAAATAGTTCAGGCCCTACAGTCGTGTTGCCATGACCAGAGGGTGGCAGAGACTCAAACTAGAGGAAAGGATCGAGGGAAGGAAGGATGGCGGGAGGCGAGTGTGGGCGATGGTGGGACTCAGAGAGTCCAGCAGTCAGTGGAAGGTTCCAGGCTGAGACTGTGCTGGTGGGGCAACATCCCAACTAACTTCTCCACTTTGCGACATGCGTTTCTCCACCTTTCCAATGGAAACCTTGCGGTGCCTGGTTGGCTGATTGTAGCACTTCATGCGTGAAGGGCCAACTCGAGTCCCAGTGCTCAGGTGATTATGGTGAAAAGGGACACCAGATGCTGATAAACAGAGCTCCTCCCATGAGTTTAAAACTGCCTTCCGTCCTCTCTTGCTTCGTCCCCACACTTGGCCTTGGAGACAGTGAGTGCCTCCTGGTAATCGGGACGATGGTGAAGTCCCGCGAGCGCCGGAATGCCCAGATGACCACCCCGATGCAGAGTGTGACCAGATCTGTGAAACTTGGGTTAAAAGAGGTCAGATCAAGGGGGAAAGGCCTCAGGAGGTCCATGGTCCGCCTTCTGGGTCGGAGGCTGAGGCGGGGTGGGGGGGGGGGGGGAAGGAGCCTCGGGCTGTGGCCCAGACATGGCTTCCCGTCGTGACTGCCCACCTGGGCCGGCCTGTCATCCCTTCAGCTCTCTGGGAGTCATCTCTCCCCAGTGAAATCAGGATATTAATACTGATTCTTTTCAGTCTTGTCAGTTACACCAAGCATAAAATGAGAAAACTCGAGATGTGCCATACTCTTCCCGTTGCTGTTACTCCTGAGATCCGGGGAGGATAAGAGGATGGACGCTCGGGTCCGGACCTGGGGCTGGAGTGCGGCTTTCCCCACCCCGCGCCGGGTGGACTTCCTTTCTTAGTCTCCTGCTCTGCAGTCCTAATCTTCCAGGGCAGCCGAGAGGATTGAAGGAAATCTACCCTGTAGACGTACTGCATTATCCAGGAGGTCTGGAGCATTTTGAATTGATTTAAATACGGGAACAGAAAGAAAAGGAAAAGAGGACTATCAAGGAAGCCCCTTAAAACCGCTTTTCTGCTAAAGGAAAATGAGATTGGCAGATTCCCAGGTGCCAGCCTCGTCACCCGTGCCACGGCGCATGGGAAGAACACGGCTTGTGCACTTCACACGCAAGGAACACGCCCCGTACACCTTCCCCCAAAGTCTCCTTGAGCAGCTTCTGCTTGTGGGTTGATGGTTTTAACGGGGTGACTATTTCCAGGGGGGTAACCTTTTTGGTTGTGATTTGTGCAGGGCTCTGAGAATATAACGGTCGCTGTCAGATTGGTGTAATGGGCCAGTGCCGCGGGGTAATGAAGGGTCCCCGCTCCTGCCTCTGGCAACAGCGCTCAGTCTTCGCTGGTCGAGTCCCGCAGTCAAGCTCCCCAGGCTCATGTCTTATGTCACGGTCCTCTGGTCCTCCCAGCTCCTCACAAGTGGGTGAGCCAGAGCAAGGGCTCCATCCTCCCCGGGTGGTTTCTGTGTCAGGGGTGTAACCTTCCTTCTCACCCCAAATCCAACTCTGGAATGTTACGTCCTCATACTCGAGTGTGGCGGTCACATACCTCACAAATCCTGCAGGTACCACAGCAACACCTGTCACACTCTGCTTTGTACAGTCAGCGCCATCCCCCGGTGCTGGACCCGTCCAGTGAGAGACAGGCTCCTCCAAGTGGAAAGATCTACGGACTTGGAGCCAGGCAGAAAGGGCGTCTGCCCCGGCTCTGCCGCGTACTAGCTGTGTGACCTCGGGAAAGTCACCGGTGGCTCTGAGCCTCAATGGCCACGTATGTAAAATGAAAGCACCACCCCTAAATTAACATAGACCAAAGTGTTTCCAAATGAGAGTGCTCTGCTCTTAAAGGTACTTCTGACTCGGTTATTTTGGACAGAGTTGGGGGTAGGAGCTAGAATAGCGTGATGAATTTGATGCAAAACTGAATTTATCTGAGAGAGCTATTTCCTTAATTTACAGAGAACTCTCAGAAGAAATCAGTGAGGTGCAGGAATCGGCACACTTCTTCTGTAAAGGTCCAGATAGTAAATACCTGAGGCTCTGAGAGCCAGAAGGTCCCTGTGGAAACGGCTCTGCTCTGTTCTTGCCATGTGGCCGGATCTGGCCAGTGGGGCAGCATGGGCAGTGCAGGGGTGGGCCCTCCACTGCAGTTTGCGGACTCCAGAATTAGAGAACTCGACCCAAGAGAAAAATGCTTAAAGGATGTGAACAAGCAGAATATGAACAGACCAATCAATTTACAATGAACGAATGCGAAGTAATACAACAGAGAGATGCCTTTTTTCCACTGTCAGACTGGCAAAGATCAAAACACTTGATAAAACGTTATATTGGTGAGAGAAACGGGAAGCAGGGAGTCTAATACGCTGTGGATTTGACAATATGTACCAGCATAAGTGAATCAACCCAAGATTTCCACTTCTAAGAATGATCTCACAGGTAGACTTGTCCATCTTTCTGTGCACGCTGATGTTAACTGTAGCATTGTTTTTAATGGGAATAAACTTGAAACCACACAAATAATCCTCAAAAGCAAGATCCATCCATCCAGTGGAATTCTGTGAGGCCGTTAATGAGACAGGGGCATAGAGGGAGTTTCTGGAAGAAAGCACTAGCACGTATAAGAAACTGCTCTAGTAGGACGTCTGGGGAATGGTGGCTGGGTGGACGAAGGGAAAAATTCT